TCTTGTTGGTGTTCAGGACAAGATTGTTATCTGAACACCACCTTGTCAGGTGCTGGATCTCCTCTCTGTAGTGAGTCTCATCATTGTCTGAGATGAGACCCACTACGGTGGTGTCGTCTGCGAATCAATACACAGACATTTTAAAGCTTTGACACATCATAGAAATTGGTGAGTACCCAATAAATGCGAGTGCGTTCTCCATTGAGGCGGACAGTAAGAGGCTGCCAGGCCATGGTGCACACTCTTCTGAAACCTCTCATTTCAGGATTGAGCTCAGTTGCTCCATGGGCAAAGCATTTACAAATCTCTCCATACCACTGGTTAACAGTAGGATGTCTGGCCTTAATCCACTGAAATAAAACCCATCTTCCCTTTAATAGGAGACATTTGTTCTACAGTTTTTCTGAATGTTTGAAATAGATGGCCCTATGCCTCAGAGGTTCAACAGAAACAAGCCAGGGTTAATTTTTATTTCCTTGCAGTGCAGGTCATGTCAAGGTCAAGGTCAAAGTGTTTATTTGTCATATGCACAGTTAGGAAACGTGTTTCCCTGTACAATGAAATTCTTACTTTGCCGTCCACATGAATGCCACAAAATACAAATGAAATATAAAGTAGATGAATAAGTAACACAAAATCTAAGGCACTTGAAGCAGCAAATGCAGAGATATAATAAAAATATATAAGGATATAATAAGAGAATGTATGCTACATGGGAGCAGCATGTGCAGCAGTCAACAGTCAATGTGCAATTATGCATGTGCAAACTGAGAATGTAAACAGTACATGACGTATTTCCTGGTAATAAACTCCTCAGCTGTTTAGGAGTCTGATGGCAGAGTGAAAGAAAGAGTTTGTCAGTCTAGAGGTCCTGCATTTCACACTTCTGATCCTCCTGCCAGAGGGTAGGGACATGAACAGTCCATGCTGGGGGTGGGTGGGATCTTTGAAGATGGAGGCAGCTTTCCTACGCACCCTGCAGTGGTAGATGCTCTGCAGAGAGGGCAGTGGAGTCCTGGTGATCTTCTCTGCAGTCTTTACCACTCTCTGCAGGCGCTTGCGGTCCATAGCAGTAGTGCTGCCCTCCTCAGGAAGTACAGCCGCCGTTGGGCCTTCTTGACCAGCTGTGTGGTGTTGAGTGTCCAAGTGAGCTTTATTGGCCAGGTGTGTTTATCGGCCTGATGCTGACACACGAGGAGCTTGACTCTGGTACAGCAGCTCTCAGTGTGACTTCTACTTACAATTACTCCTACCTAATGATTTCATTTTGACCTGACAAGGATTTAATTTTGGGTAATATTTCAGCAGAAACGATACATGTGAAGGCCAGGTTTGATCCCATGTCCAACAGCTGAAGCGCAGGTAAAGTAAGTGTGATGCCACCAAGCCTGCGGGGTCCTCACTGATGTGGACGCCGAGGTATTTAAAGAGTAACTTTGTAACTCTCTGTTTGTCCAGAATCTGTGGTTCCTGCTCGATAAGCACCAGGTGCCTCCAGTGAGTGGAGAGGAAGCCATGATCAGCTATGAAGCCTACCTGAAGGTGGGGGAGAGTGCCGGGCCCAAGTGCAAGTACGTAACAAGAAGTAAAGCTTTACTAGCAGCAGCACAGTTTGGGTTAGACCGCCCATGCAAGGCTTTTTTAATAGTGCATGTGTGTATTTGCACCAAGGATTCATGCTGCTTCTCTCCTTTTTTTCCTTCAGAAAATTCTTTACAGCTAGAGTGTATGCCAAGCTGCTCCACAGTGACCCTTACGGCAGGATCTCCATCATGCAGTTCTTCAACTACGTCATGAGGAAAGGTCTAGCTTTTCATTGGACTTTCTTGATCTACCTCATCTCATCTCATGCTTAGCAGTGTAGAAAAACCTCACAGAGTCAACTCATGAAGGCTTCCTTTCTATCAACTGATTTTCTGAATTCATATTACATCAAATTATCTTGATGTTTGATTTTGTTGGTATCTCCCAGATTTTTGTACCAGTGAATATTTTGTCACTAAATGCTACACATCTATTCTCTCTGTGCATCTAGTGTGGCTGCATCAGACCCGCATTGGTCTGAGTCTGTATGATGTGGCAGGGCAGGGCTACCTCAGAGAGTCAGTAAGCATTTCCATCAGAAACCACAATCTACAGTTTGCAGTGATATGCAGAGTTTTTATTTTTTTATTTACTGCATAAAGTCATGAGCAGCTGGTGGCAGAATTATAGCATGAAGTTGTGCTGAAATGTAAACTGCTAGGACAAGATGGTGCTCTTCATTTTTTCTTTTGTAGGATCTGGAGAACTACATCCTGGAACTGATCCCCACTCTGCCTCAGCTGGATGGACTGGAGAAGTCCTTCTACTCTTTCTATGTCTGCACTGCTGTTCGCAAGTTTTTCTTCTTCCTTGACCCACTCCGAACTGGTGAGACTAAACCCCACACAAAGCACTGTACTATCAATGTAGACACATAGAGGATGAGGAGAGGGCACCCATGCTTTATTAGAAATATGATCTGTGGCTATATTGTGTGTTCAGAAGGATGCAGCACAGTGTGTATGTAACAGGAAGAGGCTGGGTTTACACTCCCGGTCAGTAATTGTTCCTTTGTTGTTGTTTTTTCTTTCTTTTTTCTTCAGGAAAGATTAAAATCCAGGATATATTAGCCTGCAGTTTTCTGGATGACTTGTTGGAGGTACGTTCTGTGTAGAAGTATATGTAATAACATTATCTACCAAGCTACCAGCAGGCTGAATGCACGTGAATACACAGATGAATATACTGTTATTTTCATGGTCTCCCTGAAATTGCCATCATTCTACAGTCCTTTTATATGTATTATTGCTGTTATGGGGCTCATGAAATGATCAAGTACAACACTGTTAAGCATAAAAAGTCTCAGACTTGGCCTTTAAATGTAACTGCCTGTTGCACTCTCCCTCTCGCTCTGTGTTTCTAGTTGAGAGATGAGGAGCTGTCCAAAGAGAGTCAGGAGTCCAACTGGTTCTCAGCCCCATCAGCTCTCCGAGTCTATGGTGAGTACAGGTGTCTGTGTAAATGCTGAGCTTAGGTTTGTGATATTAAACAGCCCCCAGGAGTAATGCAGTAGTTGGGGACCTCACAGTGCAGTTTCTGTTCAGTACTGTGCATGGTGATAAGATTTCATACAATGCTTACGATTCTTTAGTGTCAACACCACAAATTACAGGATTATCGCTGTTAAATAAATTGTATACCTGGAATATAATGTTAGGTCTCCTGTGAGAATCGGTTGATTAAATTATTGGTGGATTTGGGACTTTGTTTTTTTTTTTTTAAAACAGTCTGAAAGACAAAAATGTTGATATGTAGCTGTTGTCCCATATATGGGACATATGAACAGAATATGGATTTACAACAAATAAAAAAAGGTTTGTATTTGTATGTCTGTGTAATCGGTCATCTCAGTAAAGGTCTGACTATCTCTCTACAGGTCAATACCTCAACCTGGATAAGGACCACAATGGCATGTTGAGCAAAGAGGAGCTTTCACGCTATGGCACAGCCACCCTCACCTCAGTCTTCCTGGACAGAGTGTTTCAGGAGTGTCTCACCTACGATGGAGAAATAAAAAAAAAAGCAGGAATACATACAAACAGCTGAGGCAAATGTACTAATGGGTGACAAATTATAGGAAAGATTCTTTGGGTCTGTGAAACACCACTGGGTATTCCCTCATTTGGAGTTTGGACGATGCCGGTGCAGAGCAGTGTCTTGACACATCGCTCACCACATCTCCCACATAGGTGTTCAGTTCTGGTCTTCTCGGTTATTCGAGCTTTTCCTTTACTTGCTCACTTGTCAGTATGTTAATGTGCAGATCCAACAAACTCACAAGGTTAATCTTGAGCTGCTCCCTGATTGAACACAGCATGTCCTCTCTGGACAGCTGACACTTTTGTGTATGTGTTATGAATTACTGGGTATTGGTCTAAATCTCTTTTCTAGGCATAATTTTTAGCTGATAATTTTGCAGACAGTGTTTAAATAGCATATTTACTGTACATAATTTTGTTTCTGAGTCGCTGTCTTTCTTCTCTTCTGCTCCAGGACTATAAGACTTACCTAGACTTTGTATTGGCCTTAGAAAACAGGAAAGAGCCAGCAGCGTTACAGTATATTTTTAAACTTCTGGACATGGAGAATCAAGGATACCTGCATGTTTTTTCTCTCAACTACTTCTTCAGGGTATTGTTCACAACCCTCACACAAACAAAATAATGGGTGCAAGCCAAGACATTTATTCAAACAGTACATGTTTGCACTACTGCTGGTATCATCCATTCATTCATGTTGCATGAAGTACAAGAACACACACACGGAAACGTGTGTTGTGTCAGAATTACATGATTATGTTGTAGCTTTTCTTTCTTTTTCTTTTTCAGGCCATTCAGGAGCAGATGAAGCTGCATGGTCAGGAGCCTGTCTCCTTCCAGGACGTCAAGGTATGTTGTGTGCACACAGTGTATGTTACAAAAAGTTCAGCCGATCTGTGTTGTGCATTTGTAAACATTCGCATATCTTTTAGGTTAAAGTGAGATACTAGGTTTTGGGTTCAAAAAGAAGAGTGAATGTTCTGATCGCTGTCTCTCCTCAGGATGAGATCTTTGACATGGTGAAGCCTAAAGACCCCTACAAGATCACACTCCAGGATCTGGTGAACAGTTGCCAGGGTGATACAGTCATCAGCATCCTGATTGACCTCAACGGCTTCTGGACCTATGAGAACAGAGAAGTGCTTGTCGCTAATGACAACGACAACAGCAGTGCAGCTGACCTTGACGACACCTGAAGATGTAAGAGACACTGAACCCCTTTACCCATGGACTCAGTTCCATCTGCTTACATTTTAACTTTAGCTTGTATAAATATTGTTCTTTGTTTCTGCCTGTTGTTTTTCTGTAAAGAGAGAAAGATAATGTGTTTGTCATTGACCTTTTTGAAATAAATGTTTTTTGTCATTTCATACCTTTTCTGACAATGGCTGTGTACGTGTGACCTCACTGAACTCAAACAGCTGTGAGAAGATCAAATAGCCAAGACTCAAATGTAATATGACTCAGACTGTTAATTAAACTGAAGTTTAGTAAATCTGAGAGTTGATAAAGCAGAATGAAGACATGGATATTTAAAAAACTGGGAAGTAATTAGGCATTTGCCAGGGTTCAATGGGTATTCCAACAATTTTACACATGAAGTTCAGTTTTTTCAGTATGGTGATTACTACTTTGAAAACAGTTGCATAATGTTATGGGGGAGCTTATACATACTGCTTATAATTGCTTGCTGCTAACATGCTGCCCACCTGATTAGGTCCCATACATCCCTTTTTATTTGTTCATATTTTTATATTGACTTATACAATTGTGTGTTATGCAAATAAGATGTCTGTCTTTTAAGCCGAGAGCTGCCAGAAAAAAATTTTGTTGTGCTTATGCATAATGACAGTAAAGATTCTTGACTTCTTGACTTGACTAAAACTCAGCTTAGGGACACAATGTACAATAGGAAACAAATCAGTGCTACAGTAGGGAATTCTTCACCATAGTATTGGTATCAGATAAAATTACGCAGGATGTAAATCTAAACAGTTTTTTTACACTTGTAATTTTGCAACTTTTATATTTGTTCATTAATACTTATGTATCCATATAGATCTAGAAATCTAATTTGAGCTAAAACAGTGAGTTTAAAATAGTATTTTGAAATAATTAACTCTGTTGTCATTTGCATTTTCTGCATTTATGTGTTCCTCCAATTTAGTTGATCACAGTCAAACACATAGGAAGGATATAGTATAGGAAGGAGTCATGGCATCTGAAATGATAAATACTGTATGTCTCCAGTCATAGTGATTGGGAAGAAAAATCCATTGCTGGCGGAGGAAATTTATAAATTATCTCGAAAGTGGAACAGGAGAACACGACACTTGTCAGTATCATGGCTGTCAGAGGGAACATTTGATGAACTGTGCACCAAAATGCAAAGCGTGATAATTATAAGGTTAAAGATAAGTCTGCAAAGTGTGTTTGCAAACGTGAACGAGAACTTGCTGTCTTGCAATTATTTAGTAGTCGTGCTGAAATGATGAGTGAAAAATAGCCAGTATGGTAGAATATCAGAGAAACTGGTGGAGGCTGCCAGGTTTGAGCAGCTGGAAGATGAAATAGTTGATTTGCTTGACATATATTTAAAAGAATGAAAGCTTTCTGGTAAAAATCCCAGACATTTAAGTGAGATTCATAATCATATTGTGAAGCTTCTGCAGGATGTCAAGACAGAGACAGACCATGAGTGCAGTGAGATGGCAAAGGAGGTGCTCTGCCCTGCTCCATCTGATGCTAAGCAGGTGTCCATCCCCAGACCAACACCACAATGTGCAAAACAGTAAACCAGCATAAGGCTATGTAATATAACAAAATAGCAGTATTAACATCAACAAACAATGCAGAAAAAGCAGTATAAACAGACAGTAAACAATGCAGACAACAAAGGAATGTTCATTGAAATGAGATAATAGGAAAAAAAACAGTACTTAAAAATAGAGACCTCTATGACTCTGTATAATCT